CCGCCGCCGCGTAGGATTCGGGTCCGCGGCGGGTAAGCGGGAGGGGCGCCGGTGTTCGTCTGCGTCGACGAGATCGCGAGCTTCAGGCGAAGCCTGTCGACGGTCAGGGATCCGGATGTGCTTCATCGAGTCGCTGATGAAGTCAACACGCAGCAGCCGTCCATATATATATGCGTGAGTTGTGCGCGGGGGTTCCCCCGCCGTACGAAAATTAAATGGCTGTCGTCGCCCGAAGGGCGCGAAGCGCAACCCCCAGCGACGACAAGGACATCGTCTTGGAACTCTAATAGTAGGGCTCTTCGACCAGTCGCCGTCGAAAACCGCCGGCCCCCAGATTCAACGAAACAACAAATCCGCCGGAGGCAAGCCCCCGGCAGGGCAAGCGCCGCAGGCGTCTTGTAGCATGGACCGTCGATCGCGCCGCCGGGCTGCGTGCGCGTGTGGTGCATCCCCCTCGACTCCGACGGGCTGCGGTGGGCGCCGTGCCAGTCCGGCGGCGCGAAGTGGGAGAAGACGTTGGCGAACTCGTCGCCCTTGAAGCGCATGGGCCGGCCGTGGCGGAGCCAGGCGCCCTCGTAGAGGATGATCTCGCCCGGCTGCGTGTAGACCTCGGCGACGGTGCGGTTCGGGAGGAGCAGCTCGAGGGGCCAGCCGCCGTCGGCGTCGACGCGCTGGTCGATCTGGATCACCGCCGACGCGAGGTGCGTGTCCATGCGGTCGACGTGGTCGATGAGCGAGCTGCCGCGGCGGTAGACGCGGACGCCGAAGGTCGACGTGTGCTTGAGGCGGAGCCCCGTCCACCACTGGAGGATCTCGCGCATCTCGCGGAGCACGGCGCCGTGCGTCTCCGGGAAGTGGTCGAGGTTGACCTTGTCGATGAGCACGTGGTCGTTGTTCGTGTAACCGCCCGGGATGACGCCGTGGGGCTTCATGCTGTCGTGGCGGCGCGCCGCGTACCACTCCGTCAAGGCGTCGTGCATGGGCTGCGTGAAGGACATCTTCGCGTAGCCCGGGCCGGCCGTGACCTTGGGGATGCGGTTGATCTGGTCGACGTACGTGTGGTCGACGGTCGTGTACCAGCGCCGGGCGTGCGTCTCGTTGGGCTGGATGCCGTAGGCCTCCGGGTCCCGGGTCCGCAGATCATCGGCGTGGAGGTAGCGGACGCAGCTCCAGTCCCGGCTCGGGCCGGAGCACGGTCGGCCGAGGTCGTGGAGCAGCGCCTCGAACTCCGCGGCGCGCGGGCTCGCGGGCGGCAGGGCCTGGATCGCGGCCAGCGCGCCGCACGCGCCCACGCGGATCTTGATCTTGCGCTTGGCGCCCTCCATGACCGTCTCCACGAGCGTCTCGCGCGCGCCGCCCATCTGGCGCACGCGAAACGCGTGGCCGCCGTACGACTCGCGCGTCGTCTCCGCCAGGGGCAGGATCGTGCCCTGCGGGACTTCTTTGCCGTGCGAGTCGATCCAGAAGAGGCTGATTTCTTCGTCGATGTCGTTCTGGAACGTGACCGTGAAGGTGCCCTCGCCGCCGCGGGAGGCCAGCGTCGGGGACGGCGGCGGGCAGGGCTTGACCGAGTCCTGCGCCCGCGTCTGGAGCGCGAACGCGAGCGCGAGGGCGAAGCGGAGGCCGAGCAGCGTCGCGCCGGCCGCCGGCCGCCGCGACATGGCCAGCCGATCACGCCCACGTAGGCCAAACTCGCGCTCTATCGTGTCGCGAATGCTCGTCGCCGGGGGTCGCGCGCGCCTCGCTGTTGCGCGCAAATTTGTGTCCTCTCAGTGGTCATTTTTCGGAGCCACGGCGCCACGGTCGTCGAAGGGCGATTGGCACTGATCAAAGAACGTCCCCGTGGGCGCCTTGACGGCGTTTGTACACGAAACTTTGAAATGCCCCAAAAACCTTCTATACGCGCCGCGCGGGGTCCAGACGTCCAAAAAAAGCAAAAAGTATCGATCCTTTCTCGATTTGTGCGTGTCATCCTTGCGCAGGGGCCATGCTAATCTTCTCTGTATCGTTCCAATTTTAATGAGTGGCTAGGGATTGCTCCCTGCCAATGGCTAAAACGCGTTTGTTGCCCTATAAACCCCTGCAAGGGCAAACATCAGCGAGGTTCGAGCTCATCGCGCATCCAGTCGCGCCTCGCGTTGGCGCTCGCTTATGGTGCACGTGAGACCATTCCCTAGCAAAAAAAAAAGGAAAAAACGACGAAAAATGATCGCGCTGAAAGCCATCGCACTCCTGCTGCTACTCGGCAGCACCGACGCGCTCGTCCGCACGCACCAAACAACTCCACGCCCAACCCGCCTCCACGCCGCGCTCGGCTACAAGGCGCAGATCGAGGAGCTGCGCCTCGCCTTCGCCGACTCGCTCGTGCGCCAGCACAACGGCAAGCTCAAGGCGGACAAGACGAACGCCGCGGCGCTCAAGGCGGCCGCGGCGCGCGAGGACGCGCTCGAGGTCGAGCTCAAGGCCACGCAGGACGCGTTCGCGACGCAGCTGAGCAAGTCGCATGACGCCAAGCTCGCGCTCCAGAAGGAGCACGACGCGACGCTGAAGTCGTCGTACGCCGAGCTGCGGCAGGCCGAGGCGCTGCTCGCGGAGACGCGCGCGGCGTTCACGGACTACATGGCGAAGAAGCAGATCGAGCTGACGCGGCGGACCGTCGAGCTCGAGAAGCGCATCGCCGAGGGCGACGCGGAGCTCGACAAGGTCAAGGGCGACTTCGCGGAGCTCGCCGCCACCCTCAACGCGCACGTCGAGGACACGGACGAGCTCATCGAGCGACAGGGCGACGAGATCCGCAAGCAGCGGAAGGCCCTCGCTAGCGTCGCCGCGCTCGCGGAGAGCGCGGCGAAAGCCTGAGGGCGTAATTCTCCCGGGCCTGTCACTCCCACAGTATCTTGTTATGGTCGCGGCCCGCGGGGGCCGCTCGAAGCCGGCCGGAGTCGGCCCTCACAGCATGCCGTCGAGGGTGCCGAAGGTGGCCATGGTGTCGGAGAGGGGCGGGTCCGCGGCGACGACGTGCGCGCCCTGCATGCACGGGGAGCAGATGTAGAACTTGCCGTCCTTCCACTGGTCGGCCTTGGCGGGCAACGCGTTGACCGCCGAGCGCATGGCCTCGGCGACCTTCATCTCCTGGCGCTCCTCGCGGGCCTGGGTGAAGATGTCGGCGCCCGTCGCGCCGGAGCAGATGGCGAGCACCGTCGGGCCCGCGCCGGAGAGGAACGCGCCGTGCGCGCCGGCCGTGACCTGGCGGCGCGGGGGGTCGCGAGAGAGCGAGACGGCGCGGGGGGTCGCGAGAGAGCGAGACGGCGCGGTGGGTCGCGAGAGAGCGAGACGGCGCGGTGGGTCGCGAGAGAGCGAGACGGCGCGGTGGGTCGCGATTGCTCTCTGTCTCTCGCCGCGTCCACCGGCCCCGAAGTCTTCCGAGAAAAGGGTTGGGGCCGCGGACGGCCGCGCGGACCATCGGGATGAGGTGCGGGTAGATCGTCGCGCGCTGCGGCTGGTGGAGCATGTCCTCCGTGGCGTATTTGAGCATGCTGAGGTCCCCGTGGTGGAGGGCGTCGATGAGCAGCGCCTACGGACGGCGACGGGGTCGGATGGAGTCTGCGAGATCGGCGCGCGGCACGGCGCGCGCGGGTGTGCTCGCATGGCTCGAAAAAGCGCTCTCGTCGGCGGCCGTCCGCGGCCCGGGGTCGAACATCACCCCGTCGCTTCACCTCTCACCCCACCCGTTTTCGCTTCACCTCTCACCCCGCCCGTTTTCGCTTCACCTCTCACCCCACCCGTATTTCGCTTCACCTCTCACCCCATCCGTTTTTCACTCGACGCTGAGCCGCGCCGTGCGCTGGATGTTGAAGACCGCGTCGGCGCGCGGGATCGTCGCCGGCAGCAGCGCGCGCATCTCCGTCGTCTTGTCCTTGCTCGCGAACGAGAAGCGCGTCTTCTCGCTCGGCACGTACGCCACGAGGCGCATGCCCTCGGGCGTCGGCACGCGCCGCGACAGCGCCAGCTGCGGGTTCTCGCGCGGCTCCGCCGTCGCGATCGCGCAGAGCTGCACCGAGAGCTGGATGCCGCCGTAGATCGCCGGCGACACCTGCGTGGGCGCGTAGGTCATAGGTTCGTAGGCTCCGGACGAGGCTACGTAGGCGCGTAGGCGCCTACGTAGCCCGTCAAAAGCGGTGCCTACGTAGGCGCCAGAGGCTCGAGCCGAGGCTACGTAGCCTCGTAGGCGCCTACGGAGTGACACTGGGCTTCCACGTTGTCCGGGTGGCCCTCCATCTCCGTGGCCAGCTGCAGCAGCTCCTCCGGCAGCTGCGACTGGTTCGGGTCGTAGCCCGCGCGCACCTCCGTACCTGCGCGAGCGCGGCGCGTCGGCGCGAGTCGCGCGCGCGCGCGCGCGCTCGGGGACGCGGCGGCGCGCCGGCGAGGGCGAGGCCCGCGACGAGGCCGCCGACGATGGCCGCCGACGACGACCCGAAGCCGCTGCACACGGGCACGCGGTTCCGGCAGCAGACGCGCACGGGCGGGAGCGTCTCGCCGGCGTACTCGAACGCGCGCTTCAGCGCGACCATGACCGTGTGCTTGCTCTCGCCGTTGGGGCCCACCTCCTCGGGGATGGCGCCGACGCCCTCGCCCTCCGTCTCGATGCTGAAGCTCCCGGCGCGCTCGACGCTGATCTCGTTCCAAATGTCGATGCCCATGCCGAGCGCGTCGAAGCCGGGGCCCATGTTGGCCGTCGTCGCCGGGACGCGCACGACGACGCGGTTGCGCGGGCACTTGACCTCCATGCCTCCCTTGGAGCGGACGCGCTTCATGGTGCCGCCGGCGGAGAGGGTCTTTGTGGTGTCGGTGCAAGACGACGACGACGACGCGAGTTTGGATCGTGCGATCGTGATGGATGCGGTGCAGCGTCCCCTCAAGGACGGCGCGAGATTTCAGCCAGCCCAATCGATGGTGGTGGCCTCGAGCTCGCTCTTCTAGAAGCACGCCAGCGCGATGCCGCTTCCGACGACGTGGCAGGTGGTGCACTCGGCGCGCGTCCCCATGCGCGACGCGCCGGACACGTCGGCCAAGGTCATCGGCAGCCGGCGGCCGGGGCAGGACATCATGGTGAACCGCGTGGAGAACGGCTGGGCCAAGGTCGAGGGAGAAGGCTGGATCCTCGTCGACGGCACGAGCGAGGGCGTGGGCCTGCTGCTGGCGCCCGTCGACGAGGACACGGGGAAGCCGATCCTGCCCGCGAAGCCGCCGCCGGCCGCGGCGGCCGCGGCGCCGGCGGACGACCCCGCGGAGTCGGCTCGAGACCGGCGTCTGGATTTCCCGCCTGGAAACACCGGTCGCGCTTCGTAGGCGGTGGACGCGGCGCGGGAGAAGGCCCTGGGGAACGCGTGCTTCGGCGAGAAGAAGTTCGCCGAGGCCATCGGCCACTACGGAGCCGCGCTGCGCGCGCCCGGGCTCGCGCCGCGCGATCCGGGGCGGGGAAAAGTGCTCACTTGAGAACGCGTTGTTTGAAAGGAGGGCAATTGCTCACTTCAGAGAACGCGTCGCTTGAAAGGAGGGCAATTGCTCACTTCAGAGAACGCGTCGCTTGAAAGGAGGGCATGTGCAATTCGACCTCGCTCGTCGCAGGCTCGAGCGGGCGACGCTCCTGTCGAATCGCGCGCTCGCGGCCCTCGAGAGCGGCGACGCCGCGGCGGGGACGCGCGACGCGAACGAGGCCGTCGACCTCCTCGGGCCCGGCGAGGACGAGGACGAGGCCGTCGCGAAGATCCGGAACAAGGCGCGGTACCGGCGCGCGCTCGGTCTCGTGCTCACAGGCGAGCTCAAGCGTGCCAAGGCGGACCACGCGGAGCTCCGGCGCGTCCGCTTCTACCGCCTCGGCTGGCAGGACCTCGTCCTCCGCGCCGACAAGCTCGACGCGTCGAACGCGCCGCTGAAGAAGGTCGGCGTCAAGCAGCCCGTCGCGGCCGGGGCCGCGCGAGGGTGATTCGCGATCGATCGTCGAGAGGAAGGTATCGATCTTCCGGGAGATGATCCTGAATGACGCGCTCGAGCTCGACCCAGAGCTCGCCGCGACGCTCGTGGCAGAATCGATCGAAGAGTCAGCGCGAGGAGCACCCACAAATCCCCCCTCGTGTCAGAATCGCACTCACAAATCCCCACGAGGAGCCAGATCGCACTCACACAAAATCCCCAGGTCGCCGCGTCGAACCCCAAGGTGCTCGTGTCCGTCATCGCGCCGACGACGACGGAGCGCCACGCGTTCCACGAGCACGTCCTCTACGCGTCGTTCAACGCCCAGCGCCACGCGCACAAGGAGCTCATCGTCGTCGACAGCGGGCCCGAGCCGTCGGCGTTCTTCGGCGACCTCGACGACGACCGCGTGCGCTACATCCACAAGACGACGGCCAACAGCGTCGGCGCCAAGCGCAACGTCGCCCTGCGCCTCGCGAACGGCGCCATCGTCGCCCACTTCGACGACGACGACCTCTACGCGCCGACGTACCTCACGAAGATGCTCGCCGCGCTCAAGGAGGCGCAGTGCAAGTTCGTCAAGCTCAACAGCTGGTACGTCCACGACCGCACGACGGGCTGCTTCGGCTACTTCGACGGCGAGAAGGGCTTCGACGAAGACCGGCCCAAGAAGATCCGCCTCCATCCGACCCTCGCCAAGCTCAAGGACAACTTCGTCCGGACCTACGGCTTCACCTACGTCTACGAGAAGAGCATCACGGACAAGTTCGCCTTCCACGACAAGTCCTGGGGCGAGGACACGGCCCTCCTCGCCGCCGCCGTCGGGACGCGCGTCCCCTGCGCGATGATCCCGGACCGCGACGGCATCTGCCTCCACAACCAGCACGGCGACAACTGCTCCATCTCGCTCTGCCACCGCGCCGTCGACGCGGATCGCTTCGAGAACCCGAGCTCGTCCGACGCGGCCCCCGTCGCCAGGCTCCTCGCCAAGGCCCAGCCCTGCCTCACGGCCGTCAAGGTCCCCGACGACGCCGTCGGCGGCATGTTCGTCTGGGAGACGCAGCTGAAGAGCCGCCGCTTCGACGCCGAGGCGACGCTCGAGGCGTTCCTGACGTGGCTCAAGACCGGCGGCGGCTTCAACGCGTCCCGGTACCGCAAGCTCGGCATCGAGCCGCCGGGCGGCCGCGACGACCCCGCGCGCGGCGCCGACGCGGACGACGCGTCGTCCGACGCCGCGGTCGAGAAAGCCGTCGACCAGGGCATCAACACGCTCCGCGGCACGGCCCGGGTCACGCCGTCCTGGGCGAAGGCCCTCAAGGCCGCCGAGGGCGACGACGCGACCCAGTAAAAGGCCAGGCCGCCGAGGGCGACCTCGTTTGGGCCCCCGCGGTCGGAAAGGGCCGCCGCGGGCGACTCAGAAGGGCCGCCGCGGCGCGAACCCCTCGTAGGAAAAGGCCGCCGCGGCGCGACCCCCGCTACGCTAGTTTCCGGGGACGAGCGTAACGCCGCGCGCTCAGGCGGGATGTTCACCCCTTGGCGGCCCAGGGCGACGACTTGCCGAGCTTCGCGCGCCGTCCGGGAACGACGACGTCGTTCACGGGGATGCCGAGCTTCTTGAGCAGGGCCTTGGAGTCCGCGATGGCCTTCTTCGCCGCCTGCTTGTCGAGGTACTTCCTCGAGAGGCAGGACCCCTCCTGCTCGTAGACCTGGCTCAGCTCCGTGTCCACGTCCGTCGGATCGAGCATGCGCGCGTACGCCGGCAACCCCGTGAACGGCTTCCGGAACCCCTTCTTCGTCTTCGAGTCCGCCGGCGCCAGACCGCGCATGTACTGGACGTAGGCCATCTTGTACGGATCCGGCCGCGGCTTCTGCGGCGGAAGCGGGCCGTACCACTCCTCGTTCTGCTTGCGGATCTTCTCCATGTCCACCTTGTGCTGGTCGTAGGACGCCATCGTCTTTCCGAGATGGGGAGCCCACAAAGCGCGTCAACTTGAGGATCAACATGCCGCAACTAAAAAGGCGACTGAAGGTGAGGCGACTTGCTCGTAGTCAGTGCCCTCGGCGGTGGTGTTGCGGCTACCGCTGAATGACGATGCGTCGCTCAGCGGTCATATGGCTGCTCGTCGCGTCGTCGGTGCAGGCGCTCGCCGTGCCGCTGCGCAGGAAGCGCAGTGCTGCAGCACGCAAGAACGTCGTTGCAGCGGCGACGTCGCCCGCGGACGGCGGTGCGCGGCTGTCCATGTCAGCGTCGAGCGACAGGAGTGTTTTTTCGCCTGAAGATGTGAAGAAATCCGAATCCGTCGCACTTGGTAGGTCCATGCCGCTCGTCTACTCGACCGCGGCGCTGCAGAGCGCGTGCTTCGGCGCCATCGGCACGGCGCTGCCGCCGGCGCTCAGCTCGTCGGGCCTCGAGCCGGCCGCGGTCGCGATGGTGCTCGGCCGCATCGGCAGCGCCTCCGCGCTCGCGGAGGTGCTGCTCTCGGGCTCGTTCGGGAGCTTCGCGGACGCGGCGGGTCGCACGCAGCGCCCGCCGAACGGCACGCCTCTTCTCGCCGAGAAATCCGTCCTCGGTAGGTCGGAAACCGCTGCTGCTCGCGGCGCCCGCCGTGACCGTCGCCGCGCGGGCGCTCGTCGTCGCGGTGCCCGACGTGAGCGTCCTCGTCGCCGCCCGTCTCGTCAGCGCGTTCGCCGTGCCGGTCTACTGGCTCGCGTTCCAGGCGTCGCTCGCCGACGTCTACGGCGGCGACGCGAGGAAGCTCGCCGTCGTCGGGAGCCGCATCCAGGCCGCCATGGGACTCGGCTACGCCATCGCGTCGGTGGTCGGCGGCGCCCTCGCGAGTCGAGACGTGCGCCTCGCCTACGGCGCCTCCTCGATCCTCGGCTGCTGCGTCATAGCGTGCGTGTCGAGGTTCCCCGAGACGCTCCCCGCGTCGCGCCGCCGCCGCGAGGGCTTCGACGTGCGCCGCGGCTTCCAGCCGTTCGTCTTCCTCAACCTCTTCCGACGAGGGCGGGTCTTCTCCAAGCTCAACGTCGTCGTCCTTCTCCAGAGCCTGACGAACGGCATGGGCGACCTGTGGCAGGTGTTGGCGCGGGAGCTGCGGAACTGGGGCGCGGCCGCGTGCGGTCGCTACGCGGCCCTCGTCGGCGTCGCGTCCATGGCGGGCACGCTCCTCACGGGCCCGTCCATCAGGCGCCTCGGGCCCCGGGGCCACACCTGCGCGTCGACGTCCGCGTCCGTCGTGAGCTCGGTCCTCCTCGGCCGGGCCACGACCGACGCGGCGGCCTACGGCGCCCTCGTGCCCATCGCGCTCGGCTCGGGCAGGTCGCACGCCACGACGGCGAGGATCGTGAACTTGGGCACAGACCTCGGCGTCCCGCAGGGCCAGCTCGCCGCGGAGCGCACGGCCCTGAACGCGGTCATCAAGGTCATCGCGCCCACGCTCTACGCGGCGCTCTTCGCGTTCGGCGCCCAGCGGGGGCTGATAGCGCTGCCGTTCTACGCGACGGCGTCGCTCCTCGCGGTCTCCGTCGTCCTCGCCTCGACCATCCAGTACGAATCGTCCGAATCGACCGATAATTGACACTTTGTCAAGGTTCTCTGGACGGAAGTCTGGACGGGCGCCATCGAGCGCGCGCCCCCTTCAAAGTCCCCTTCAATAACTAGTCAAAGTTTCCAGATGCACCCCGAAGAAAAATCGAGCGTGCGCTTTGCTAGTTCGCGCCGCTTGCGTCGTCGTCGTTTCGAGACAACAAACCACTCATCAGCATGTCTGCCTGCTTCACGAGTGTCCAGGCCTATAACGGCTGCGCGGGATTTCGTCCCGGCGACAGCGACCCGCGCCAAAACATGCCCCAGCAGCGCATCTGGCAACAGCGCATCTGGAAGCCCGTCCCATGGTCTCCCAGCGTGCCAAAGACCAAGAGCGCGAAGCAGCAGCGCAAGGCCGCGCTGAACACGAACGACGTCTTCAGCGCCGAGAGCCTCGCCAAGCACAAGGTGTCGATCGCGGACGTGCTCCTGTCGGAGCCGCAAGCTCCGGCCTCGCCGGCGAAGCGGGAGCGCGCTCCCGCCGACTCCGCCGCGGTGGCGGCGTCGCAGGGCGACGCGGAGACGATCCTCGCTGACGAGAGCGCCTGGCCAGCGCTGAAGACGAAGACGGTCGCGCCGCCCGAGGAGGCCGGCGGCGAGGACGACTGGGAGATGATGTCGGAGGCGACGACGGAGGCGTCGGAGGCGTCGAGCGCCTGGGAGCTCCTGTCCACGGACGAGGACTCGTGGCGGGTCGTCGGGCAGCCCCTCACGTTCAAGGAACACGTGACGGGCGACGGCGCGATGGCCGCGCCGGCGCGGCCGCGGACCAAGGCCCCGCCGCGGCGCGTCACTCCCGAACCTCTCCCGCAGCTCGACGAGGACCACGAGTGCGCGGCGCCCGTCGGTCACGCCGATCTCGAGTACGCGCAGCGGCAGCGGCGCACGAAGCAGTCCGCCGCGAGCCGCGACCGCCGCGTCGCGCAGAAGGCGGCCGCCAAGCTGAAGGCGGCCGCCAAGCTGAAGAAGGCCGCCAAGTGACCGGGCGCGCGGGGTCATCTAAGCCGGAGGATTAGTCCGCGGCGCCTCGAGACGCGGCGCGCTCAGTCGCTCTCATCGCTGTCGTTTTCGTTCTGCAGCTCGACGTCGTCCTCGTCGGACTCGTCGTCGAACGTGTTGTTGGGGACGGCGTAGATGCGGACGATGGGCTTGGCGCCGTCGCGGGCGATGACGTACTTGCCGTCATCGTAGGAGAGGAGGAGGTCGACGAGCATCTTGATGATGCCCCACATGTTGTTCACGTTGAGCGTGATCTGCGTGGCGAACTCGCGGGGCTTGTAGAACTGCGTCGCGAGGACGACGTGGTCGTAGGGGTTCGTGCGCGCGACGCGCGACACGTAGCCGAGCTTCATCTGCTCGGCGCCCGCGAGGATCGACTGCGCCGTCCAGCGCGCGAGCTTGCACGAGTTGTTCTTGAGCTCCGTGGCGAGCACGGCGCCGCGCTGCGAGTCGATCTTCTGGCGCCACTCGACGCCGCCGCTGAGCTTGGAGTCCCACTCGTTGAGGCAGTAGGCGGTCATCTTGTGCTTCTCGCCGCGCTTCTCGACGAGGCCGTGGAGCTCCGTGCGCGCGACGATGGTGTGCTCGCCGAGCGCGAACTTGCGGTAGCGGTACGCCATGGACGCGGGCTTGGACTCGGACTCGGCGTCGGCGAAGGGGTTCGGGAGCGCCATCTTCTCCGGGGCGGGGTCCGTCTTGAGGATCTGCTGCGAGAAGTTCTGGTTGATCATCGTCGCCTCGATGCTGAGCTTCTCGGGCGTGTTGATCTCGTCCGCGGGCTTCTTGTCCTTGTCGTCCTCCTGGTCCGGGTTGGGCGCGACGGGCGGCTCGTGCGACGTCTCGCTGACCGTGAGGAAGTCGAACGCGGCGGTGTCGCGCTTGTCGAAGACGAGCGTGCCGTCGAGCTTCTGGACGATGACGTCCCAGGGGTAGACGGACCGCGGGCTCGCCATGAGCAGGCTGAAGATCGCGTCCGTGCCGTAGACCGTGCCCGCCTGCTCCTCCGCGAGCTTCTCGATGGCCGGGTCGTCCGTCGTCGTCACGTAGTAGAACTCGCGGTTCTCGCACCGCTGGAGCGGCTTGTCCGCGCGCGTCGACAGGCGGTCGTACGCGTCGTTGTACGTGCCGAGCTCGCCGGCCCAGAGCAGGTCGGTGGCCTCGGGCACCTTGGTGCTCAGCTTCGTCAGCTGCGCGAGGTCGAACTCCTCGACGCACTTCCAGTCCGCCGCGACCTTGACGCTGCTGCCGCGGTCCACGCGCTGCACGCGGTCCCGGCGCCCCCAGCCGCGGCCGCGGCCGCGGCCGCCCTTGCCGTTCTTGCCGCCCTTGGCCTGCTGGTTCCCGCGGCCGCCCTTGCCGCCCTTGCCGAACTGGTCCTGCTGGCCCTGGCCCCGGCCGCCCTTGCCCCAGGCGCCGCGGCCGCGGCCCCGCGTCTGCCAGGGCTTCTTGAAACCCTGGTTGAAACGCGACGTCTTCGCCTTGGCCGTGTCGACGAGGTGGAAGCTCGAGTCCTCGACCGCGTCGTACTTGTACTGGAACTCCTCGTTTTTGAAGTCGTCCCCGGCGCGGTTCTCCCGGTCGCGGCGGTACTTTTGCTTCGCGCTGTAGTAGCTCGACATGGTGAAGTCCGCCGCGCGCCCGAGCCGGTCGCCCTTGCCGAAGGGGGCGTAGGGCACGTCGACGAACTGCTGCGGCAGGTTCTCCGACGTCGGTCCCCACGAGTCCTTGTTGTGGTGCACCACGGGCGGGCTGAAGGGCACTGACTTGGCCGTCATCTCCGCCATGCTGTCGACGAGGCAGGCGATTTGGGCGAGCTGGAGTCGATCGCGCCCGAGCTCGATTTGCTCCGCCGGCTATGGGGGCCGGATTACCGGGTAATGCCCGGGAGGCCTCGGTAATTACCGGTAATTACCGGGTAATTACCGCACAAGGGTAATTACGAAGGGTAATTACCCGGTAATCAGGGCGTCCGCGGACGGCTAGAGGCGGTATGGCGGCTCGAAAGGACCACCGCGAACCCGCGTGTCGACCGAATTCTCTTTTAGGTGGCTTCCACGCGACAACGCCGGCGGCGCGCTACGGCGTGGGGGGCGTCGCCCGGCGCGCCCGTCGCGACGTCGCGACGAGCAGCCGCTCGGTCGCGGTTTCGCGCCGCGCGTCGACCGCGATGCGAAACACGACCGCGACGGGCCGCGACGCTCGGATCGTCAGCCACGTGTACTAGCGGACCGCGGCCTGTACGCGGATTACCCGGTATCGAATTATGGCACCGGGTAATTACCGGTAATTACCGGTAATTACCATTACCGGTAATATACCGCCAAATTACTCCGGCGGCTATACCGCCGGCGGACCCCCGGCCAAGCGCTGCGCGCTGCGCGCAGGCCTCGCCGAGGGCCCGTGCCCCGTTTGTAGCGAAGCCTTACCCCTCCCCCCCGGAGAAAAAAACACCCTGCAACAACCGACGAACCCGAGATCCACGGATGCTTTCTACTTGGGCAAGCGCGCGCGGCGCTTCCGCGGCCCGCGCCGTTCGCGGCGGGGGTTCCTGGGCGCTTCGCCGTGCCACGCGTCGGTGGGTGCGCTTGCTCAGTCGCGGCGCCTGGAGGGGCTGCGGCTCGCCGACTTGCTGCGGGACCGGGACCGGTCGCGGCGGCGGCGAGGCGCCTCGTCTCTGTCGTCGTCGCGGCGGCGGCGATCGTCTCGGCGGCGCTCGAAGGAGCGCGAGCGCGACCTGGAGCGGCGGCGGTCGTCGTAGCGGCCGCCGCCGCCGCCTCCTCCGCGGCGATAGTCGTCGTCGTAGCGGCGGCGCGGCGGACTCCGGCGGCGGTCGTCGTAGCGGCCGCCCGGCGGCCCGCGGCGGCCGCCGCCCTGGGACCGCGGGTCGACGCGCGCCATCTCCTCGGGGCGCTTGCGCTTCTGCGCCGCGAGGAGCACCTTTATCACGCGGCCGTCGAGGTCCTTGCCGTCGAGGCCGGCGATGGCCTCGTCCGCCTCGGCTTTGCACGACATCTCGATGAACGCGAAGCCGCGCGGCTCGCGCGTCATGTAGTCGAGCGGAATGTACACGTCCTTGACGCTCCCGAACTTTTCGAACTCCTCGCGCAAATCTTCCTTGGAGAGTTTGAAGGTCAGGTTGCGGACGAGGACGCTCACGCCTTCCTCTCGGCGCGACTCGCTGCGCTCGCCGCCGCGATCGCCGCCGTTGCGATCCCCGCGGCGCTCGTCGTCGCGGTCCCCGCGGCGCTCGCCGTCGCGGTCCCCGCGGCGCTCGTCGTCGCTCATGGTGTCTGTCGCGCGCGCGTTTTGGCGCGTCGACGAGCTCGGCGAGCGGCTGGTCGATCTCCACAACGCAGCTATGGCCGCTGCGGCAGCGGTTAGTCCGCCTCCCGCGGAGGCGTCCAAGCCCGCGCCACCCCCAGACGGCGCATCAAACACAGCAGATGCCTCCGCGCCAGCCTCAGACGCAGCGGCTGCGCCCACCGACCGCGAGAAGAAGCTGCAAGCGCTCATGGAGCGCTCCAAGCAGCGCGGCGACGAGAAGGCGGCGCTCCAGAAGAAGCTGATGATGAAGCTCTACCTGGAGGGCCTCAAGGCGAAGACGCGCAAGGCCAAGGCCGCGGAGGCAGCGGCCAAGCCGCAGCCGCCGCCGCCGCCGCCGGACGCGTCGAAGCGCCCGCCCGCCGCCGACGTCGACGCGCGCGCGCTGACGCACGCGGTGCGCGGCGACGACGACGCCGAGGCCGCGCGAGCGTGCGCGCGCGCCGTCGCCGGTAGCCTGCGGACCCACGGGTGCGCGTGCATGGCGACGAGCGCGGCGATCGCCCCGGAGGTCGTGGCGACGTGCCTCGCGACGTGCGAGCGCGCGCTGGACGGCGTCAAGACCAAGGAGATCGTGACCCGGAACCGCCGGCGCTTCGACGTCGTCGCCGGCGTCGAGGGCGCGCCGCCCGTCGTCGGCCTCGCCAAGGGCGGGCCCTGGATGCGCGCCGTGCGGCGCCTGCTCGGCGTCGACTGCGCGCTCCTCAAGTCGGGCGTCGTGGCGGCGCTCCCCGGCGCCGAGACGCAGGCCATCCACGCCGACGGCAAGCACCTCTTCGCCGACGACGAGGACGAGGACGCGCGGAACGCGCACCTGCCGCCCCACTGCGTGACGGTCTTCGTGCCCCTCGTGGACATGGCGCCCGAGCTCGGACCGACGGAGTACTTCGCCGGGACGCACCGGCGCGACGGCGACGCGGACCACTACAAGGCCGCGAACGCGGGCCGGGTCGCCGGCGTCTCGTTCGCGGACGCCAAGGCGGGGGACGCCATCCTCTTCGACTACCGCGTCCTCCACCGCGGCCTCGCGAACACCTCGGCGAAGCCGAGGCCCTTGCTCTACTTCACCTACGGGCGCGCCTGGTTCACGGACGCCACGAACTACTCCGCGCTCTCCATCTACGACGCCGAGGCGACGGCCTAGATTTTTTACTTAGCGCAGAGGGGCGCTGCCCCCGGCGCCGGCGCCGGCTGTCGCGCCGCCGAGAGCCACGCCTTCGCGGCGGTCCTCGAGCTCTTCAGCGCGGCGGCCGCCGCGGGCTCGTCGAACGCGCCGCCCTCGCCGCCGTCGTCCAGCTCGGACTCGAGCAGCTGGACGGCGTCCAACACATCGTTTCGCAGCAGATCGAGGTAGTCCAACGACGCGATCGCGTTCGATCGCGCGCGCTCGACGTACAGGTCCTCGCCGGCGACCGCGGTCGTCTGCCGGCCGCCGCGCGCGGGCGCCGTGACTTCGAACGTCATGTCCGCTTCGACGGCGTTGATGCTGCGGCGGAGCGCGTTGCCCACGGTCGGCAACGGCCGCTCGTAGTTGCCCTTGAAGAGCCGCGCGGACCGCGGCACGTTGCCGCCGACCTTGGGCAGCGCCGCGTCCGTGAACGGCAGCCCTCGCAGCACGTCGCGCGCGCAGCCGCGGTCAGTGAGGGAGAGGGCGTCGAGGATCTGTACGGCCGTGGCCACGTCCGCGCGCGCCGCGTCCGGCTGCGGCGGCGGCGGCGCTGCGACCGCCGGCGCCGCGGCGAGCGCCACGGCGAGCCCGACGCCGCAGCAGTGCTGCTGTAGAGTTGTGACGGGCGCGAGCCCGACGCCGCAGCTTTGCTGCTTTAGCTGTGTGACGGGCGTTCGCAGCGCTGTCGCCGTCGCGAGAAGCGCGACCGCGAGGCGCTGGCAGCGCTGCGATGCCGAGCCCATGTCGGTCGCAATCGGAGTGAAGCAGTCAACACCACTTCAAGCACCCACTTCGCGCACGAAACATGGTTGCGATTGGGCAGCCTGGCTCGCGCAGGGCCCGTCGCTGCGCATCTCTACTGTTCCTGACAGTAGCGTCGGCGCGGGAGTGGTGCCGGCCCGGCGCGCCGTGCTGGCCGTCCGTCGACGAGCTCCGCGGCATCTGCGCGACGCCGGGCTGCCGCGTATTGCTCCCGGAGGACGACGAGTTCGCGAATGCTTCTCTTCTCCGGGATACGCAGTGGACTTTCACGCCGGGCCTCATCGTCCAGGTCGCGAGCGTCGAGGACGTCCAGCGCGCCGTGCGCTTCGCCGCGGCCAAGTCCGTCGAGCCGCGGGTCTTCAACACCGGCCACTGCTACGACGGGCATTGCTCGGGCGACGGCGTGCTCCGCGTGGACGTCGGCGCGCTGAACGCGACCGAGTGGGTCACCAGTGGCGACACGTTCCGTATCGGGAGCGGCTGCCGGTGGGGCGACGTCTACGCCTGGCTCGGAAACTCGAGCGGCCACCGGAGATGCTGCGTCGGCGGAGGAGACCCGAGCGTTGGCGTGACGGGATGGACCTTGGGCGGCGGACACGGCCCGATGACGCGGGCGTTTGGCATCGGCGTCCAGCAGGTCCTTTCCTTCGAGGTCGTCGACGCCGCCGGCGCCGTGAAGACGGCGTCCGCGACGTCGGAGCCGGAGCTCTTCTGGGCGCTCCGCGGCGGCGGCGGCGGCACGTTCGGGATCGTGACGTCGTTCACGCTGCGCAGCCATCCGGACACGGCGGTCCACTACGCGGCGGCGACCGCGAACATGTCCCTGGGCCTCTACGCCGACTTTGCGGCGCGGCGCGCGCTGTTAAACGGCGTCGGCGACTGGCTCGCGGCGATCCTGGACCCTACGTCGGGCGACGCGTCCATCAGCGGCACCGTCGAGCTCGATCACGGCGCGCGCCACCAGCTCGTGCTCAAACTCCTCGTCCGCGGCGGCGACGCCGCGTCGGCGTCTCGGCGCGTCGCGGGCCTCGCGAAGCTCGTCGCGCGAAACCCGGCCGTCGCGAGGCTCGACGAGTTCGCATCCTACGACTCCTTCGGTCAATATGCCGCGACGATTCCTTCCAAGCCCCCCGGCGCGCCGGAGACGTCCGCGTCCGCGCTCCTGGCGCCCGGCGCCGTCGCCGCCTCCGTCGCCGCGATCGTCGAGGGCGTGGAGCAGCTCTTCGCCGCGGCGTCGCACGGAACCGAGTTCCAGTGCACGGCCGACATGGTGGGCGGCGCGGCGCTCGCGGCCCTCGACGACGCGGCCTCGGTGCACGACGCCTGGCGCGCGACGGCGCTCGTCATGGCCTGCTCCGCCTACGGATGGGCCGACGGCGGACGCGACGCCGCGGCCGCGGCGCTCAACGCCTGGTCCGCGCGCGCGCTCGCGCCGCTCTCGCGCGTCGGCGCCCGAAACCAGAGCGCCTACGTCAATGAGGCGCAGACCGACGGCTTCGACGTGCCCTGGAGCGAGCTCTTCTGGGGCTCGCGCTACGGCCGGCTCCTCGACGTGAAGCGGAGCGTCGATCCTGGCGGTTTCTGGCGCTGCCCGAACTGCGTCGGCTCGGAACTGTAACTTTTCTTTTTTAGTACCACATGTGGTCCCGCGTTCGATCATCGCGGCTGCGCTCGGACGTTGTATGGCCCGGGCGCTGCCGCGCCTCGGTCTCCGCGACGACGCGCGACGACACCGACGGGCAGCCGCGTCACAAGGGCGCCGATTATGCATGTTGCAGTGCACTTGTATAGGCAATGAAGTCAGGAGTGGAGCCAGCTCTGTCCGGATAAGGACTGGGAGAGCCAGCTCTGTCGCCCGACAGCGCATGGAGGTTGGCGTGCCTGGGAAAGGTCGCAAGGTCCAGGGCAAGTTCGTTACCGAGTGCAAGGACGCGCAGAAGAAAGCGCTCGAGTGCATCGAGACCAACCCGGTCGACCGCCGCTCGTGCGATCCTTTGTTTGCTGCCTACAAGGCGTGCCGCAAGGAGGAGCACAACGCCATCCTCAAGGCCCGCGGCGAAGGACGCTAACGATGGCTTCGTTCAAGAACTTCGAGTTCGACGCCAACGGCGTCAACGCCTGGGGCCACGACGCGGCGCTCTTGGCGCGTGCGCGCAAGCTGCACGACCCGCCGAACGTGACGATGGACGGCCACAACGACCTCCCGTGGACGCTGTACCAGGCCTACGAGCATCGGCTCGAGAAGGTGGACCTGCGGGAGCCGCAGGAGGCCGTGCACTGCCCGGCGCTCCGGCACCGGTACCTGCACACGGATTTCCCGCGCGTCCGCAAGGGCGGCCTCACGGCGCAGTTCTGGTCCGTCTACGTGCCGACGCAGATTAGGGGCGACGCGGCGGTGCAGAAGACGCTCGAGCAGATCGACGTCGTGCACCGGCTCTGCGAAAAGTACAGCGGCGAGATGGGCTTCGCGTGGAGCGCGGCGGACGTGCGGCGCATCGTCGCCGAGGGCAAGCTCGCGAGCATGTGCGGCGTCGAGGGCGGCCACCAGATCAACGGATCGCTCGCGACGCTGCGCATGTACCACCGGCTCGGCGTGCGTTACATGTCCGCGACCCGCGTCTTTTATTCTTTCGGGGGTGTCGCGCCGCGTCGCGCGCCCGGAAGCCCGCCCGCGCCGCGCCGCCCGCCGCCGACGCCGCGTTCCACAGGACGTTGACGCACAACGGCGGGCCCGGCTGGGCCGACGCGGCGCTCGACGACGACAGCAAGTACGTCGAGCACGCGAAGGCCGGCGGCCTCTCGCCCTTTGGCTGCGAGGTCGTCCGCGAGATGAACCGCGTCGGCATGGCCGTGGACATCGCGCACGTGCACGAGGACACGATGCGCAAGGCCATCGAGGTCAGCGAGGCGCCCGTCATCTTCTCGCACTCGAACACGCGCGCGGTCTGCAACCACCCCCGGAACGTGCCCGACGACGTGCTGCTCAGTCTGAAGAACGGCAAGGACGGCGTGGTCATGATAAACATCAACGCGCCCTTCATCGCCGGAGACTTCTTCGTCAAGGACGGCAAGGTCGGCGCCACGGTCAAGGAGGTCGCGGACCACGTCGACCACGCGAAAAAGGTCACGGGCTCCGTCGCCCACATCGGCCTCGGCGCGGACTACGACGGCATCAAGTCGCCCTCGCGCGGCATGGAGGACGTGTCCACGTACCCGATCCTCACGGCGGAGCTCCTCAAGCGCGGCTACACCGACGACGAGATCATCGCCATCAACGGCGGCAACGTCATCCGCGTCATGGAGAAGATCGAGGCCGTCGCCGCCCGGCTCCAGAAGACCCGCCTCGCCTCCGAGGCGACGCCCGCGGACTTTGGCGAGGTCGCGCTCTGACGAGCCGTCCGCCGCGAGGCGCGGACGGCGAGGCCTACGGCGTTGTGCGAGGCCCGGACGAAGCTAACATGGAGTCGATTGAAAACATCGCGTCGGCGGGCGCCAGCAGTCGCCGGCGACGGCCATCGTCCACTTGACGGACATGGGCCTCCTGAGCTATATACCCATCGTCAATCGGTTCCTGCCGCAAGAGGAGCCTCAGGCGTCGGCGCCGGTGGTGGAATCTCAGTCCCCGTTCGGCGACACGGTCGCGGCGGCGCCAGGATCGAATGGGGCGCGCGGCGCCGTGCTGAACGGTGCCTCGGCCGCGCCGCCGGCGGGTCTGGCGGCGGCCGGCGCGTTCGGCGGCGAACTCGGCCAGGGGGCCGTCGACCTCGCCCCGGCCGGCGGGGCGTTCGGGTCCGGCCGCGCCGCGCCGGCGCCGCGCCGCGTCGACGGCGGCGACGCGGGCGCGCGGCCGCAGGAGCCGTCCTGGGCGCGCTGGGAGGACGGCCTGCGCGACGCGCGGCCCGCGCGGCGCTCCCTGGGCGGGGAGCGGCGGCGCTACGACGACGACGACGTCGACATGGCGGACCGGCGCGCGTACGCGGCGCCGCCGCGGCGCCGCTACTACGACGACGCGGACCGCGGCTACTCCGAGGTCGGCCCGCCGCGCTACTACGAGGAGGACTACGGCTGGGACGACCGCCGCGGCCGGCCCGCGCGGCGCTACGACGACGACGGCTACGGCTACGAGCCGCGGCCCCCGGTCGAGGACCGCTTCGAGGGCCGGCGGCGGCCGCGCGACGCGTACCGCGGGTCGCCGGCGGCGCCGCCGCCCCGGCGGCGGAGCACGGGCGCGCCCTACCCCGCGAGCCGCGGCGAGGGCGACTTTGGGGCCTGGAAGCGGCCGCGCGACGACGAGGCGACCGAGTACCTCGACGAGCTCGCGGACGGCGTCGGCTCGCCGTTCGACGGGTCCCTCCAGGGCGTCGCGCGGCGCGCGGCGAAGCGGCGCCGGAGCCTCGGCGGCGCGGGCGTCGACTCGTCCTACGGCGAGCCCTTCGGGGGGCGCACCAACGGCGGCGGCGCGCTCGTCGTCGCGCCGCAGCTCGAGCCGCCGGCGCGGCGGTCGCTCGCGCCCGAGGCGCTCGCCGCGGCGCGGTCCATGGGGCGGTCGCCCCGGCGCGAGTCGTCGGCCGTCGCGCGGAAGATCCTCGAGGCCCTCGCCCAGATCTCGGCGCCCCTCGACGAGGCCCGCGAGAAGCTCGCGCCGCCGCTCGAGCTCGTCGACCTCGCGCCGCCCGCGCCCGCGGCGCCGCGCGCCGCGGCGCCGCCGCCACCGACGAAGCCCGCGTCGCCCGTGAAGAAGCCCCTGACGGCGGCCCCGCCGCCGCCCATCGCGTCGCCCGTCCTGTCCCCCCCGGCGCCCGCGCCGCGGCCCGCGACGACGCCGCACCCCAAGACGGGGCTCGCGACGTTCCCGCCCGAGCCCGCGTTCGCGGCGCCCCCGGCGCCCCCGGCGGCGGCGCCGGCGCCCACGGGCGACGACGAGTTTACCTTCACGGAGGCCGACGGCGAGCCCGCGCCGCCCGCGACGTCCATCTTCGGCCGCGCGGACGCCAAGGCGTCCGCGGTGCCGGACTTCATCTTCTCGCCGCCCGCGCGCCGCTCCAAGAAGAAGCGCGACGGCGACGCGGCGCCCAAGGACGACGCCGCGAAGAAGATCAAGACCTTCGACTTCATGGGCTCCGCGGACAAGGCGGCGAGCGCGGCCTTCGCGATGCCCGCGGCGACGCCCGCGCCCAAGAAGGCCGCCGCGCCGTCGACGACGACGGCCGCGCCGTCGACGGCGCTGCCGACGAGCGGCTGGGGCGACATGTTCAAGCGCCCCCCGGGCCAGTGGAAGTGCGACGCCTGCTACGTCTGGAACGACAAGGACAAGACCAAGTGCGTCTCGTGCGAGACGCCCCGCTCCGACCCGCTCTCCGACGCCGCCGGCGAGCTCGCGGCCGCCAACGGCAACGGCGCCGCAACGCCCGCGGGCGGCGCGCCGACGTCCGCCGTCGCGGCGCCCTTCACCTTCGGGACGCCCGTGCCGCCGGCGCTCTCCAAGGGCGCCGCGCCGACGCCCGTGCCGATCTCGTTCGGCGCGCCGACGCCCAAGTCGGACGCGTCCGACAAGTCGAAGAAGTCCGTCAGCTTCGCCGCGCCCGAGCCCCCGGCGGCCTCCAAGCCCGCCTTCAGCTTCGGCGGGCCGGCGACGCCCCACCCGGGCGCGGCGCCCGCGGACGACGCGCCCGCGGCGCCGCCGCCGACGTTCGGCTTCGCCGCGGCCCCGGCGGCCAAGGCCGCCGACGAGCCCAAGCCCGCCGTGTCCTTTGGCTCGTCGGCGGCCCCGGCCGTGACCTTTGGCGCGCCGCCGGCCAAGGCCGACGCGCCCAAGGCCGACGAGCCCAAGCCGGCCTTCACCTTCGGCGCGCCGACGCCGACGCCGGCCGCGCCGGCCGCCGACGCGCCGACGCCCGCGGCGCCCGCCTTCTCCTTCGGCGCCGCGGCGCCCGCGCCGACGCCCGCGGCCCCGGCTCC